CTCCTGGCTTGGCTGCTAATTTGCCTCCATGTTAAATGCCTCCAAAGCACTAATTAAAATGGAAGGTTCTTGGGTCTCGTCGACAGATGGATCGAGTTATTGGTGGTGGAAGCGGCCACCAGCAGTAATTGCAGCCTGTCCCTGAGCGACTGCCAGTTTGGGCATTCATGAACAGCGCCAGGCTGACAGGGGTCAGGGGGGTCAAACCCACCGAAACGAGAAAAGCAGAATCAGTCCTCTGTTCATCTTTGTGCAACGTTGCTTTTGTGGCGATTAACTATTTAGGTGTTGGAGCTGCTTTTTAGTCCTCCGAATCCCAATTATGCTTCCCTTGTGAATCACTGCAGAAAGTTTGTTAAGTAGAACATGAACACAGCTACTGCGTTCGGAAAAGGTTGCTTCTTTTATTTGACTGACTTAGCTACGTGTTCATCCACTGGACAAGTAGAATTGTATTTTAGTTTTAGAGCAAGTGAGGTGTGCATACAGTAGCATGTTTTTTCAGGGGCGATTAATTTGCACAAAACTTGGAAATCCAGAAGGATAGCAGAGTTTTGAATTGGAGTTAACAGAGATTGGATGTTCTTTGATGTTGTGAACTGAAGTAACTTTTCTCCAGAAACCACTGTATAGCATAGTAGTCTATGAGAAGAAAGATTGGAATATAGTGGGTGCTGAGTGAGAAATTAATTTCTTCATTCAGCTGTTAAATGACATTGTGCTGCTTTTTTATTTTTAAAGTGATAGTGCTATTCTAGAAGACAAAAATAACATTTTAAGTAATTTATGTAACCAAGCTGGTTTAATACAAATATACCTTTCATCCAGCAGAGAGGCTGGGGTTTTGTTGCAGTAAAGCTTCTCTGTAAGTATTTTCCAACTGATGGCAGCACATGGTGTTGTTTTTTTCCCTGCAATACTATGACAAGTCACCACTGAGTTTCATCTGTAAGAAAAATAAGTATAAATTTTAATTTCTGGAAATAATATAATTTTCAAACATGTGTTGCTCTGAGTATTGCCTATGATAGCTGTATGTGAGTCTAAAAGATATGGCTGTGACCAATGAGTTAACATATCTAATACTTTTGGTAGGAATGTAAAAACATTCTTGTGTGTTGTTGCCAAAAATGTATGTACAAGAAGAACTATACTGTTGAATTGGATAGTAAATATGGCTAACGTTTCCAGTTTTAAACTTAATGAGCATATCCATTTTTAATTATTTTTTTGCAGCCTCATGGTTATGATGACTGTGATGAAAAATCTTTACAGGTTTCCGTTGTTTTGGAAACGCAAGGAGTTTCTAACACTTTGTTTTATTGTATCTTTCAGGAAACTAAGTTGGAAAAGTTACAGAAGAATCTTTTCAGTCAAGCACCAAGTCTTCTATTAGACATCAGTGAACAGACTAAGCTTAACACTTGTCAAGCAGAAGGGCCAGTCGCCTTTTACAGGAAGGATTAAAAGTAAACAATGACTCGACTGAGAATTTATGAGCGATTGCTTGGAGCCTGTCTGCTTATCATTCTCCATGTTCAAGGTAAATATGGACTAGTTGAAGTAAGTTTTTCCTCTGTAACTGAGATGTGTATTCCAGTGGTTGGGGTAGAGGTTTCTTTCGTTTGGGGTTTGGTGTTTTTTTTGTTTTGTTCTTGCAGGCAGGTGCCATATAGACACTTCCCTAAAAGGAAGGTCATTGTAGTGGTCATCTGTTGACCAGAAATGCATAATAAACTGTGGAGCAGGTCATTGAACATTTGAGTTTCTGAATTTGTTTCCTATGTATGTGCACCTTTGATCCCTTTAAACCTGACCTACTGAAGAAATTGCAATCTGCAGTTCCTCATGCCTTCTGATGCTCCCAACAGACAAGAAGTGGTATGGCATAACTAACCTAAATAAACTGGTTATGCCGACCTGATGGGTGGAGGTGAGGCTGTGGGGTGTTCACAACAGCCTGGCTACTTGTTTGTGTATCTGTGTCTTTCCAGCCACCGGTTATCAGAAACTTACAGAAATCCAATTGTCATTAGTACTTTTAACTGTCAAATTGGGTTCCGTTAGAAAAACAAATGTATTGTGAACCCACCAATGTGACTGTCTCATGCTCTCTCAGGAACTGAAGCTTAAGGACAAAGCTTGTAACTTGTTTGAGGGGAAAATTCTTTTTATATTTATTTCCTTACTTCTTATTAGCAGCTGTACCTGGCACATCTGGTCCTATAATTGCTTATAGTTCAGAGAAGTGTCATAATAGCAGACTGGCAGCTGAACTGTTAGCGGTGTTGTATTCTCATGTTTGGGACGTGAGCAGCAGCGCTCTGCTGTGTCCACCAAGCCTGTACATCCATACTTGGTCTCTGCGTCAGATTTCTTGTTCTGTCAGCTGTGAGCCTCTCCCATGTTTGAGCTGAGTACGCGGAGATGTCTTTATGTTTCAAGGGAAAGAGGCAAGAGTAATGTCGTGCTGCTGTTTTAATACCTGCATAGAAAAGGGTTTATATTTGTTTTCTGGATTTGTATCAGTTACTGCTTGATTTTGAGATAATCTTTCAGCCATTCGCTTTAAAGAATAACAATTCAATGAACTCATTAAAATGGAGGGAGGAGAGAGCCTGGTAAACACCGAAATGACAATCCTTATGCCCTGTTTCTGGTGTGTACCTGCAGTGTGGATTAGAGGATTTAGCAGACCTGTCTGTATTGGGACTATGCTTGACAACTGATTTTAGAAGCAGAGGTGCATCAAATATATGATGGGTCTGCCCCTTCCAAGTTACTGCTGCAGCTGCTAACCTGGATAGGAGCAAACACTTAGAGCACAACACCCTTAAACATAACCAAAACCTTTATTAAGCAGCAAATATGAGTGACACTGGAGATACTCACCTGGAATTGACCAGGGGTGAACTGTCAACTACACCAGGATTCACGTTAAATCAATAGTGCCTCAGTGCAAGGAGGATCATCTTTTAAGCTCTTTCAAGTGCCATCCCACATGCACATTGACAGCTCAGCTAAGCTTTTATGGAACAGAAGTCCTTTATCTGGATTTGTGCATAACTGCACTTTGTTAAAGATACTTAAAACTGCCATTCTTCCTTTCAAGTTTTCTCTGGGGTTCAGTCCAGGAGGCTACTGAGAGCACGCTACAGAATCGTAAACACTTCTCTTCCAAAACTGGACAAGTGTTCCTGCATAATTGCCAAGTTATGTGAGCACTTTCAGCTTTGTAGTCCGCAGGTGCTGCGAATAGTGTCACCTAACTTCTAGGTTTGGCTTGATTCACTCTGTGTGTGTGTGTGTGAACACATGTGCACACATTTTAGGAGTGGGGAAGAGCATTGGCCTTAATTTGAAGATTTGCCATTGGAGCAAGGATTTCAAGGTTGAAAGCAAAAAAAAGAAACATAATCCAGGCAGAATTCTTCCATCTTAGTTGCGCTAGTTAAGTTGGGAGAGGGAAATTCTCAAAAATATTCCTGTTGTGAACTTAAAATTTTTAACTGGCAATAAATAGCTCAGTCCATTTAGAGAGAAATAGCCTAGTTTGAGTATAGTTGAAGTTTGTAGTACAGATTTACAAATATTTTCAGGTAGCTCTAAGATGATTAGATTCCTAATGGGCACAAATCACAATACTAGAGATTCTAGTGAATGTGACTTTAAATTACATTAATTCTTTCCTTTATCATATTTATTAATAATACTTCAATACAGAACTGATAAATAATATAGCTAAATTAATTTCAAAGCCTGTGAATTTTTTTTCAGTTTCTACAGAATAAATTGCCTTGTCTTAGGAATATTTCCAACTTTCAAATCAATACTGAGCAAGTTCTGAAAGCCATGGGAAAGTTGAGCTTCCTAAAATGTTGTTGCTGCTTTGATGCAAGTTGCCTAAGGGCTTGTTTTCAAACTTGTGAAATACATTCGGGTTTCTAGAGGTAGCGAGTAGGAAAATTCGAGTCTCTCTGCTTCTCCTTAGATTCATGGAGGAGTTGTGCTTGGCAGGGCAGAAAGCATAAGGTTGATAGTCATAAAGTATTTGAATTTTTTGTCGGAAAGAAGAAATCTACAGTGAAAAGTCTAAAAAGTGGAAACTGAAAGTGAAAAAAGGTAGTTTCAAAAAGGAAAATATATGCAGGATGTCACAAAAAAACGCAACATAAAGGCACCAGTAGAGGTGGAGAAGACATGTTATGAGGAATTGAAGGAAATTTGTGTAATTTGCAGAAAGAGGAGGAAGTAGACACATCCAGCATTTGTACTGTCAATGACTGGCACTTGGCTTAATGGTTTGCTCTCACTTATTTTGGAGGCTTTATCAAAATGGAGGGAATTTTGGAGTTTATAACGACCTGAGAGAATGATGACAGCAAGTGTGGCCTTGTATGTGCCATGTATATGTCCACACCAGAATCTTTAACTTGGGGATATAAAAAAAAGTGGCTGCATGCATTGATCAGTGTGAAGATATTCTTGCAACAGCAGCAGGAAGCAGAGGCAATGCCATGGCCTTATTGGTGAAGAGCTGCTGTCTCTCAGGTGGGTGCTGTGGAGCAGAGGGACACAGCGGGGCTACACTTTGGGTTATATCTTCTTCACAGGTTATAGGACTTTTTCACATAGGTTGAGAAATGATCAAAAATAAGTCTGGGTAGCCAGTGGCTAGATCTGACAGCGACCTTCTCAGGAAAAACATTTTTGCATTCCCTCTCTCACTGTGGAAGGCCTTTGCAGTGTCTTTAAACCTGCGACTTGCTCTGTATCTTCATCTGCTGACTTTTGCTCCTCTAAGGCAAGAGGTGGTCACCTTCATGTGAGGTTGAGGACAGTGGTAAATACGGCTTTTGTCTTCTCAGTAGTGCAAGTTTTTAGTTCAGAGAACCAGTTTTACTTCTGAGTACAGCTCGCTCTTTGTTTTTATAATGCATTGATGAACACATTATAATGCACATTGATGTAGCAGAGTAGTTAAAGAACTTAGAAGAATGTGTTTCAGTATTCATTAAATTTTATAGTTTGTTACTCTCAGTTTACTATATGATGTAGCATTAGATATGTGCTTCATCACACCTTTATGTGTTGTTCAGAGACACTGTGAAAGAACAGGATTGTAATTTTTGTAATTTAGTTGGCTAAAAATGTATGAATAGCATTCAGTATGTATGAAGAAAGGTTTATTAAAAGTTACATTTTTAATTAGCCTTAATATTAAATATTAAAGTGGACTTTTAAAAGTTGGCATTGTCCAAAGGTGTGATGAAAAAAACTGCTGAGTTTTGATTTCACTGTCATACTTGTTTATATTCAAAGATTTGATATAGAAAAGAATATTACTTTCTATTTTTTTACTTTTTTGCCTGAAGTTCAGAAATTGCATAGTAGTTACTGAATTCATCATATAGACTAATCTGAAATACAGAAAATATTGTAAAATCTGCAGAAGGAACTTAAAGTTGTCTGAAGCTGATCTCTTGCTTGAGGACAGTGTAGCTTTGCTTACCGCTGATTTCCCCAATTAATGGCGGTATCTGTTTTAAAAACATGGGCAGCAAGCCTGTATTATCAAATATTTGTCTGACTAAAGTTATTTTAATAGCATATTAAAAGATTATATATGTCTTCATTATAATTTCACATTTAGTTTTAAGTAACTTGATTCTTTAAAAGTCCATTTAATTTATATTAGAATACAGTGTATTTATAGGGTTTCTTTAAGTAAAATACAACTTTCTTTTCTCCGGCTTTTGTACTGAATACATGAGAAGAGAGAGCAGTTGTCTTCAGAAATGACTTTTCTGGCAAAGGGAGGTGGGAGCAGAGCCCAGGTATTGCTGGTTGGCAAGGTAGCGAGGCAAGGGCTGCCTGGCTGTGGTGAGCGCTGGTGTAGCTCTTGGGAGAGCTGGAGGGTGGCAGAGAGAGATTTTAAACAAGTAGTCTGGGAACGTGCTGTGATTTTTAGGAACCAGTTCTGCTAGATGGAGCTACCTCCAACATGCCTGGTCTTTGGAGATCACAGCCTTGATGTATAAAAAAACACTATAGGGAGAATTATGGTTAACATGCCAGACACAGAGCTCATAGAAGCAGGTAAGATGTTTTCTTTGCACTCCTAATTTTTTTTCTGATTATTTTTAATTATTTTGTGTTTTAAGAAGAAGTGCTGGTATTTTACTCAATCTGACTCAGTTGTACTGAAGTTTAACTCTCGTAGCAGTACGTGTTCAGTCACTGTGAAAGCTTGTGATAGGCATAAAGGCAAAATGTCTTTGTTAAAGTGGATGATTTTGCATCAGTCTGCATCCTAAAGCAAGAAAAATAGTTTAAAAGTACCACACAAAATTTCAACTTATGTCTTTTTCATAAGAAAGGTGTATCTAACATAAAGAGGTTTGGTACAACTTTCAACCTTTATGAAAAAAGCCCAGTGTGGGCAAAGCCTGAGCATCAGCTTGCCGCAGCAAACAGCTTTAGCACCAGCATGGAGGCGGGTGAAGCCGATCTTCTGACGAAGATCCTTTTTATTTAATTATTGAATATATTGAAGTTTCCTGGCTTGGGTCGGAATAGCTACAAAGAAATGCTGAGTACTGTAGTTCAGCAAGGATAAATCCCTTTTAAGGATAATGTGCTCTGGAATACAAATGTTTTTATGTGGAACATCTATATTATTAGAGTTCAGAAAGCTATTGAACAACTTGAATGCTGTAGGCTACTGGCATAGCATTGCAACTTGATTTGTGGAGGTAGAGGAGATACAGTTAAGTAAGAAATTACAGGCACAATTTGGCTTTTGTATTTGTCTTTCCCTTACTGCTCTCTCTCTGCATTTCTTAAGAGCTGCTTATGGGTTACACAAATCTTTCTTGTATCAGAAGACTTGAGGAAATTATATATGCATCCTGGCATTGAGCTGCAACCAAGTTAGCTCAGTTTTTAGGGGTTAATAACACTTCACTGTCATGCAGTTCTTTGAATAATCTGTATGTTTGATCAAGGGCTGGATATGATACATTGGCAGACGTTGTTCGTTTTTGTTAAAAAAAGATTAATTTTAAACAGAAAGCTATTTAAATGTCTATCTGTAACAGTTGTTCGCAGTTTTAGAAATTTAAAATTAATCAGAATGTATGAGACAGTGTTGTAAAGGGGCAGAGCAAATGACAAACTTGGAACTTGAAGTCCCATCATCTTGTTTCTCTCTGTCTTATGCTGAGGTTACATGACAAGAGGACAACGTTCCAGCTTGCCAACACTGATTTTTCATTGAACGTTGTTAAGTTTTTGAAATGTAGTTAAACATACATTATAGAGCAGTTCATATGTTTGACAGTATCGATACTATGATTCTCAAGGCTGGACAAATAATCTGAAATTGGTCCAGGATCCTGAACAAGTACTCCAGTGCATGGCAGTTCATTTGCTTCTAATGGATGTTGTTTTGCCCCACCAGTCCTGTGCAGTTTACAGGTAGAGGGTAGCAAATAATGGAGGAAGAAGTTGTGCTGTGCCTGATATCTCTCAGTACTGTATTTTAGGGCAAATTTTTTTTCCTTTGAAGGTAGGTGTATTAACACAGAGCACTTAGACCTTTGAAGGTTATGTACAGTTTGTGCATGTGTGTTTTTTAGCCACACCACAGAGCTGACAACTGCATGTGTCATGGAGAAGCAACCATTAATTACATCATCAAGTAATGTGGTGTCACAAGATCCCTAAACATGATCCTCCCTTTCTCTGTGCTGCTCCCAGAAGAAAGATAAAGCAATGTGAATGTTTGGGAGGTGAAGCTCTGAGGGTGGGGATAATGAGAACACTGGTGCAAGAAGTTCAGGTGGTTCCTGAAGCAAGATATTGTTTAGGCATATGTTTCATTCACCCTTGTTCATTTATCTGGTGTCTATTAACCAGGAAAACCAGCAATGAGACATCCTGTGATCCCGTTCAGACCTTGATCTGCCCTCTTAACATCTCAGGTGAATGGAAGCCAAATCACCTTGTGCTTTCAACTCCTTCCCCATACCCAGGATCTTTAAGATAGACACTAATCTCTCTTACAATGTTTTTTTCTTCCTTCCCTGGATATTCAGTTAAACTCCTGCTTAATAAGAGTTCTCTTCACAATCACAGAAAGTAAAAATTGAAAAGTCAATTCCTTGCCACCCTCCTTGGTGCAATCCAGAACCTGTAAGAAGAAAACAGGCTACCATGGAGTCTTACTTCTCTATCACATTACTAAGATAATGAAATTGTAGTGTGATTTTGCTTTGAATAAAAGTCTTTGCCTTATAGGCAAAGATGCTGGTTCTTTGAAAATACACTTAGCTATTTTGGATTTTGTACGTGTTCTTCATAAATCTTGTACAGTTCATCGTAATAAGAGAGAAAATGTATCCCATCTCAATTTTAGAGTTTTAAAAAAAAAAAAAAGAGTTCCTTAATTCCTCTTCTAAGAAACTGAAAAAACGCTGCATTCAGTGCTCAGGTTAGGAGGATGGATGAGTGACTGTGAGACACAGATCATTAAGTATTCAGACTTTTAACATGGGGAATATCCTTGAAGATAAAGGATGGGTTTATAACATTAATTAGGAAAGAAACATTAGTAGTTCAACAGAATTAAAAAGACAGTATTTGTACATATGCAGTGGCTTTTCCTTCAAATATTAAATAATTACCTGTCCTGTGAGCAGGTAAGGATCTCTTAAATGTGAATACAGCATGCTGTATTCCCATCTGTGGCACAGTTTCAAAATGAACTTTCGGCTTATGCTGGGAAGAAATCTGAAGAAATCTGTAGAAAGAGAAAGGACAGATAGAGGAGCTGCTATTTCATATGTGCAGAATTCCTTTTAGTTCAATTGGAAATTCCTACTGCACAGGTAGACTGTTATTCTGGTGCTGGACCTTCTTTGTTGTTGCCTGTACATACTGGGAATGTTTAACTCGGGCATTACTAAAGCAGTCTTTGAATATTTAACTCGGGCATTACTAAAGCAGTCTTTGAGAACTACATTTCAGATAAAACATGGCAAAGTGATTTGAGGTTTTAGATAAATGGTGAAATACTTCTTTAGGATACATTCCTGGTTGTAAATGAAAAAAGGCAGAGTTTCATTGCTTTTGGAGAGTTGCTGAATCAATATTACAATAATGCACTGGGTGTGCTATATTAATTGGATAAGGAAGTCTGCAAGTCTGCTTTTTTTTAGAAAAATAAGATCACATTTCTGAAATACTTAATTGCACATTTGGATGAATGGTATAGTGGATGTTATAACAGAGTCATACAGAGGGTGGTGTCTGCGCAGGGTTTTTATCAAGTTTTTCTACACATCTTTCAAGTAAGGTACAAGAAGAGAGTAATGTTCTCATTATTCTCCAGCTTCTTTTTGGTGGGTTTGACAGGAAACCACAGGAATCTGTTAAAGGAGACTTGAGTTTCCTGGTCAGATTATTTTTTTTTAATTGTTAGATAAATTGAAATTTTTATTGTGACATCTTTCTGAGAGGTACTGAAGTACCTAATTTTTTAATTATCACTGAGTTTGTAAAAGCTTCTATCAGTTCTAACTGGCTGTTCTTTTTGCACACTGAGCCTTCCACAAGAGGCTTGCTATGAATTATGTCAGTGTTGATGATAGTCTGTTCAAAATTTTCTACTTTATTTGGTTCATATGTTGAAGACTTAGAGCCAAGAATGCTGTGAGTTGATGGACAGAAAGCAATACTTTTTTTGGTAAAATTATGTGTGATAAAACCAGAAGAGATGGATAAAGATGTTCTCATCTCATATACTGGTCATAAAGCATATTCCAAATGAGGCAGATAAGGTTCCTAAATTTTTTTTTCTCAATGTTCTTTGCTGAGAAGAAAACAGATGGAATTTTTCTTCCAAATGCTTATGTTCACAAAAGCACTTTAATAATATGATCTAGAAAAAATGATGCTCATCTCTCCTACTGTTGCAAAATTAAGGGCTACTTGGAACATAATTTAGCGCTATTTTTGTTCTGTGAAAGCTGGTTTCTGTGGATGTTCATGTCATTTACTGAAACTTAATTTGCAAATAAGATTTACTTCAGCTCTGTTTTGAAGTAATAATGCATACAGAGATCAAAACACCCAAGAGATTTTGGAGTTATTACTGCTCTTCTATGAGACTGTGAATCCATAAAAAATTACCTCAGTTCAGAAAGTTAGAAAATTGCATATTAAGTACGTTCAGTCATGCATAAAATTATACTGTTGCGGTTATCAAGCGGTCAGCATTTTGGTTTTCTAAACACGTGAGTGGAAAAGGTTTTCTTCAGAAAATTCTTACTAGTTCTATTATTATTTTTCTACCTCACCTCAGAAAGGGAAAATATACTCTTTCTGGTTATATTGATTATGGTTGGAAGGTATGCTATTGAGATACAGATGTTTGAAATAAGTATTTCTAGAATAAAATTATTAACTCAAATTTCTGCCATAATCTTGAGATAAGAGTGTCTTGTATAGTTCATTTTTTGTTAATATAATTACTCTCTTGTTGTGTTTTGCCTGTAAAGCTCTGGTACAATTACAGAGAGATGCAAAAACATTTTCTTTGCTTTTCTATTTTTCTTTTTAATGTTCACATCAAAATCTAGACAGCATGCTTCATGGCACAGGAATGAAGACAAATGCTGACCAAAAGAAACAAGCAAATGGAGTTACACTTGCTCCAGAGGACACTTTACCTTTTCTTAAGTGCTACTGCTCAGGACATTGTCCAGATGATGCTATTAATAACACGTGCATGTAAGTATGGCATACATAGAAAAGGCTCTTTGAAGCAGCTCGTTTTTGTGAGAGAATATACTCTCTCCGGAGTGTTGACTGAGGTCCTGTCGGGCGATCTGGTCACAGTTTGTTTGAAACTCACAGATTCTGTGGAGAGCTGAGCACTACACTCACAGTCATCTATATTTGCGTACAATCCTGCTCTCCCCATACCTTCGAACCATTTGCAACCAGTCATTTTGGCCCCAGCAACTGCTTTGGAGGGATGAGGTTTTAAGTAACCTGTAGCATTTTATAACTGGGTGAGTATTAAATGACCCTAATCTAGACCTCTGATATGATCCCCTGCTTGCCTAGTCTAATGCTTCTTCACCTAGTAGTCAAAAGGTAATGTTATCAACATACCCATTTACTGAGAATTCTTCCTGTTATGTGTTCGTTAGTTGTGGAGTGCGAGGGAAAGGCAGGGGAAAAAAAGGAAAACCTTTGAACATACAGGAAGGAACAGGAGGGTAGGTTTGACTTTGATAGGCAAAAGAATCCTCCAAACAGACTCATGCATTGTATGCTTGCATAATATGTTTTTTTCATGTAATGAAAAATTGGTTTTCCTTTTTCCTTTTTTCTCTTCGTTTGCAGTTTCATATTTAAAGCCTTTCTGTCTTCTTCCTAAAGAATTAGTATAAAGACACAGAATAGAAGACATGCTTTTTGATATCGTGAGTCTTTACTTTAACACGTACTATTAAGCCTCTTCAAAGCTGTCACTTGACAGATAAAGCAGATTTTGTGGAACTCAAGGAGATGGAATAAACACTACTATCTTTTTAAATTTAAACGTAGTATTTTGCAAACATAGTTTTGCATCTAGAAAATGTTCGGTTACGATCCAGTATTTTGTCTTTCAGTTCCTTTGGTATTAACTTTTTACTTTGTATTGCCCCCTAGTGTGTGCAGTCAGTATAGGCCCTATTAATTTTTTACCTCTTAACTAATGGCTGTATAGATCCTTATCCTGCTAAAAAAGCCACTAGAGTTAATAACACACAGTGTTCAGGTTCAGGGCATTTTATGGCATTATGCTTCTTAAATCTGCATATCTTTACATAATTCAAGTAACAAAACTCTGGCAAATAAAAATATTTCTCAATTTGTTTTCTTCAGTATCTGTATTGAGGGAACAAATGAATTTTGATTTACTTAATAAAAAATTTTACAGGTATTGAAAGCACAGATCTACCATTGCCAATTGGTTTGGGATTCCTTACAAATATTGCTGACATTTTAATGTAGTATAGAAATCACAGCAGTTGTATAAAGAGGTAATGGAGCATTGAAGTGATATTTCTTTGAAAGAATGTAGGTAGTTTGTTACTGTCAATTTCAGAAAGTGGATTTGGGTGTTTATTTTGACCTAAAAGCTGAATATTTGAGAGAGCTTACATGGGAAAAGTATAGCTGAGTTTCTGACCTTGAAATAGCCACCTTTCCCATACTGGGACTTCTCTTTGAGAATTTATCTTCTTCACGGTTTCAAGAACAGACGCAAGTGAATTTTATTACTTTTTTTAAACTATAAAATTTTAACATCCATGCAGTGTTCTATTTGAAAATACTGTGGAAGTCTTTTGTTCTCAAACTATATGGTAACCGCTCTGTTATAGAAGTTTTCTAGAAACTGCCATCTTAGTATTCTTGTTGGGTTCGTGGTCAGCTGCTGATGCATGCTAAATAACAAACATGCTGGTAAAGCACAAGTGATATATGTGTTCCAGAACTAATGGACATTGCTTTGCTATCATTGAGGAAGACGAACATGGAGAACCCACACTTGCTTCTGGCTGCATGAAGTATGAAGGTTCAGACTTCCAGTGCAAGGTAAAAAAATGAGATATCATTAAATAATTTGGAGTTGCTTATTTTGTACAGTTCATTTGACAGAGAGCATAATCATAAGAAGTTGTCTTCACAGATTACATGAGAGTTACCGTAAAGCTTGATCAACATACACATTTTATAAACTGGGTATATGTTTTCCTGTCCAACATAAATCTTTTCTTTTCTTCCTAGAAGAGTTATTGTTAATTGCATGAATATAACTTTTAATTTAAATGGGTATAATTTCATAGACTGTTTACTTTAGAATTTCTTTATTGGTTGCAAATGTTGGAACTGAAAGCACAGTTAATGAAGCAAGGATTGGTTTAGAAGACGAGGATGTAGCTCTAGCTGGACAAATCAGTATTGCCTTGGAAGACTGGATTTTGCATTTTGGTTTTGTCACATTGCTTACATCAAACAAACTTTTCAGAGATTGCTGATTGCTTCCCACCTCCCAATTGTATCACTGTTTTTGATAAAACAAAATTTAAATCTTTAGAACTTCAGTTTCTATATAATGTGCCTATGAGTAGCACTGCTGTTTGGAAGCACTGTTGACTTATTACAGCTGTGGATGTTCAGGGTTACTGCAAATCAGATCTGGGATGTTATGATTACCACTTGAAATTATTCTTGTATTTATATATTAGTGTCTTACTTTCAGAATGATTTTCACGCCCCTCCATCTTTTATATGGTGTCCTGAAGATGTTTGTGAGGCAAACAGTGCTACTATGATGCATGCAAGAGAAAAACTTCTAAAGGGATTAGGTGTTTTTTTTGTCTTAAGAGCGCTATTTTTTTAACACACAATTAACGGCTTTTGCTCAAGCTTAAAATTTTGGCAATAGTAACATAAGTAGAAACCATCTATTTCTGTGCACCAAATAAAAAAAGTTCTGTGAAAAAAACCTATTGTGAACATAGAACATGTACACCCAAAGAAATTATATGATGCCTGTTTGCAAATGTGAAATTCTCTCACGCATTAAATGGTGAGGTTCAACTGTTTTTGTAAATAGAATAGTTTAGACTTTTGTCTATGCTGTTGTATCCATAGTGTCGCCTATCTCTGTCCTAGCTGATCGCTTCAAAATTTATTCAATTCTCCTTCAACAGGACTCGCCTAAAGCACAATTACGTCGAACAATTGAGTGCTGTCGGACTGATTTCTGTAATCAGGATTTACAACCAACATTACCACCACTTGACAGTGCAGGTAAATAGTTCCTAGATGTTCATGCTGCTACCAATAGATGCTATGTAGATTTTCTTCTTTCTGATCAACAGATAAAAGTAAGGAGAAAATGCACTTACAGTGTAGTTTCTACAGCCTGTTTTCTTTTTAAATTGTTTTCTTAATCTCTGCTCTGCTTTTGCTGTGGTGAATGTATCTTAATAGTTAATGTCAGAATACTTTTTTTTTATCTACTGCAAATTTCTTCTTTCTGTTGTTCCCAGTGAACATAATTCGTTTTCAAGTGCTTACGCACTTGAAATCCTGTAAATCCTTAATTTCTCTTTCTAAGAACTAACAAGAGATGACCAAAACCAACAGCTTAAAAATCTCAAGTTAAATATTTTTTTTGGTTGTCTGTCATCCAACTATTGGGTAAGGGAAAGGCTGTCGATACCGTCTACCTAGACAATACCTTGACACTGTTCCCTGCAGAATTCTTACGGAAAAACTGGCTGCTCATGGTTTGGATGAGCATACAATCTCCTGGATAAAACACTGGCTGGACGGACAGGCCCAAAGAGTGGCAGTCATTGGAGTTAAATCCAGCTGGCAGCTGGTCACAAGTGGTGTTCCTCAGGGCTCAATGTTGGGACCATTTCTGTTTAACTTCTTTATCGGTGATCTTGATAAGGACTTAGAGTGTGTCATCAGTAAGTTCACAGATGACACCAAGTTGGATGTTAGGGTGTGTTGATCTGCACAAGGATAGGGAGGCTCTACAGAGAGACTTGGACAGATTGGATCAATGGGCCAACGTTAACGGGATGAGCTTCAACAAGGCCAAGTGCCAGGTCCTGCACTTGGGAAACACCAACCCCCTGCAATGCTGCAGGCTTGGGGAAGTGTGGCTGGAGAGCTCTCTGGCAGAAAGGGACCTGGGAGTTCTAATCAACAAGCCGCTGAACACGAGCCAGCAGGGTACCCAGGTGGCCAAGAAGGCGAGTGGCATCCTGGCTTGTATTAGTGTGACCAGCGGCAGTAGGGGAAGATTGTCCGCCTGTACTTGGCACTGGTGAAGCCATACCTTGGGTGTTGTGTCCAGTTTTGGGCATCTCAATAAAAGAGAGATATTGAGGTGCCAGAGTGAGTGCAGAGGAGGGCAGCAAAGCTGGTGAAGGGCCTGGAGAATAAATCTTATGAAAAACGATTGAAGGAGCTGGGGCTGTTTAGTTGGAAGAAGAGGAGGCTGAGGGGACGCCTCATCACCCTCTACAACTGCCTAAAAGGACGTTGTAGAGAGGTTGGTGCTGGTCTCTTCTCACAGGTAATTAGCAATAGAACAAGAGGGAATGGCTTCAACAGGGTAGGTTTAGACTGGATAAAAGGAAAATTTTTTTCACAGAAAGAGTAGTCAGACATTTGAAATAGGCTGCCCAGGGAGACATCACCATCCCTGAATGTGCTTAAAGGTCATCCAGATGTGGTATCAGGGGATATGGTTTAGGGGTGAACTTTGTAGAGTAGGGTTAGTGGTTGGCCTTGATGATCCCAAGGGTCTTTTCCAACCTGAACGATTCTGTGATTCTGTGAAATTAAAATATCTCTGCTTTCCTGGTTGAAATCCTTGCTTTGATACTAAAACACTGTAAATTGTGTGATTTCTTGTGAACTGGTACGTTATATGTATCAGCTGTCTTGCTTCCTTTTTGCAAGTGACTCTACATACTGTCATAGAATCAGGAGACTGGGTGAGAGTTGGACAGGACCTCAGGAGATCGTATGGTCCAACCTCTCTGCTTCAAACAGGACCACCTAGAGCCGGTTACACAGAACCATGTCCAGGCGACTTTTGGATGTCTCCAAGGAGGGAGACTCCACAGACTCCTTGGGCCACCTGTGCCAGTGCTTCACTCTCACCGAAAGAAGTATTTCCTGATGTTCAGACAAAGCCCCTTGTGTTTCATTCATAGTCACATTTGTACACATTCATGCACAAAACGTGAAAATACGTCTAAACAAGCTGTGTACAATAAATGTTTAATGAAAAGACTTTGATAACTTTGCCTTTTTTTTATATAGATGGACTTTTTGATGGCAGCATTCGTTGGATGGCAGTGTTGATTTCTATGGCAGTCTGCATAATTGTCATGATCATCTTATTTAGCTGCTTTTGTTACAAGTAAGATAAGTGCTTTCTTTATTGGCAACTTTTTTAATTTTCCAGAAGAGTGCAAACACAACAGTTATTTTGTAAATGTACTGAGTTAATCATGTATATATATTTCTGACAAGACTAGATTGAAAGTGAAACTGTTGTGATTTAATTTCATGTTTCTGTGGCTAGTAGTGTGTGTTGCTAGGTAAAAAGTAATACTGACAGCATAAAATTTAAGTGAATTTGATCCCTTCCTCTGGCTACGAAGTATTTACCATTTTCTAAGCTACATATAATTTCAGTGCTGTAGCATCTAGTAAACAGGAATGTCTTAGTGCTTTTTATGTATTTGAATCATTGGTCACTTTTGATATTTAAATTCCGTTTACTTCTGAGATCACCTTTGTAAAGTGCTCTTGCAAACCTGAAGTAATGAGGATGTGTTTTATAACTTTTCCTTTTCCGGCTCTATTTCAAAACTAAGTAATAGACCAGCTGAGCTATGGCAATGCATGCAGGCGCGTTTTAAGAGATGATGCTTTCTTCTGTCAGCTCCAGCCCTGGGCTGGACATGATTGTTCTTCTGGCGGTTACAGCAGAAATGGGCATCCGTCGGCCTCGTCTGCCCTGGTTCTAGGTTCAGTCTGTTAGTTTAAACCCAAACCAGCGGTGCTGTGCTGGTAACACTGGCTGGGAGGTCAGGATGAAAAATGCTGCCTTTCCACCTGACTCATGATTAAGTGACATGCCTCTGCAGGCTTTAGAGCTTCTTAGTATTGAAAAACTATGTAACTTACACTTCTGAAAAAACATAGTGCAGTAATATCTGATTTTTTTTCTTTTAAGAAAACTTGTACTTAAATCACTATTTTCCTACATATTCCTTAGATAATTTTTTATTTCGAAGAGTGTTTTGGAGTTCAGCTTAACTCCTCCTGTTACTTTTGCAGGCACTACTGTAAATCGATGGCAAAGAGGCACTGTTATAATCGTGACCTGGAGCAAGATGAAGCATTTATACCAGCTGGGGAGTCATTAAAAGACCTCATTGACCAGTCACAGAGTTCTGGAAGTGGATCAGGACTGCCTTTGCTGGTAAATCACACACTAAGATTTTTCTTCACTGAACGTCTCTCCATCAGAAACAAAGTTTGGTTTCTGCCTAATGCCTAGAATAAAGCATGGTAATTATTTTACATGCAATTACTGGGAAAGGTACCGTACAAACTACACATCTGTGAAAGTCCATCTTCACATGATTAACTGAAATGAAGTGCAAAATGAGATTATATGTTAGGAAATATGTTGGCATCAGCAAAATGTAAAGAAAAGTTAGAGCCTTACAGACATTAAGATAAAAATGCAATGAATGGATAATACAAGTATCAAATTGAGCAAACTCAAAGTTTGTGGGGGTTTTTCTTAGTATCCACTGTAAAATAGATTTTCCTTTTATTGGCTGATAGTCGTTCATTACTTTTGATTAACCACCTTATATAATGCTTGCATAAAAATTAGCCAGCAAGACCCATGACTGTAATAGACAAATTGAATGCAAGAGAATGCATCTGAATTAAATAAGAAGTTGAGCTGATTTAATCTTTTGTGTTCGTTTTACAATTCTTTCTTAGAGGCAGCAGCGATAATGAATTTGAAATGGGAATGGTGGAAAATAATATAGAAAAAATGATACAATGGGATCAAAATTCAGAGCAATTCAAGCTTGAAAAGTAGCTTGTCTCGGTACTTTTGCTTAATCGATAGGTTTCCCTTTTCCACCTCCCCCTCATTTAGTTATTTTTCTTAAAATTTTTTTTTTCTTCCCTAGGTTCAGCGCACTATTGCCAAACAAATTCAGATGGTGAGGCAAGTTGGAAAAGGACGATATGGTGAAGTGTGGATGGGCAAATGGAGGGGTGAAAAAGTTGCAGTGAAAGTGTTTTTCACCACAGAAGAAGCCAGTTGGTTCCGAGAAACAGAGATTTACCAAACTGTTTTAATGCGTCATGAGAACATCCTTGGTAAGGAAGGAGTGTGTTGGCTGCCAGAGGGTTTGTAGGAGAGTGAAGGAGGAGGAGGAGTTCTTGATGGGCAGCTTGAGATGGGGTATGTGGTGCATTCGATGGAATAAACCACATGGGTGTCCCTTACTATATGCTAATAAAACCTTATTGAAAGAGTAGAATCTTGCTGCTCTGGGTCGGAAGTGTGTCTGCAATCTCTTGGCTCAAAGACTGGAATGGTGACCTCGTGTATAGTCGAAATGCGAGAGCTTTTACCTGTTTCCCTCGTGAAAAGAAATAATGTATCTTCTGATACAGTGTACGACAGTGTGGCTGTAGGAAATCTTACTAAATCTGCTGCATAAAAAAAATTATGTACAACTAAATTGTAACTTTGTTTATATATTTCATAGGTTTCATAGCTGCAGATATTAAAGGCACTGGCTCCTGGACACAGCTATACCTGATCACAGATTATCATGAAAATGGATCATTGTATGATTTTCTGAAATGCACTACACTAGACAACAGGGCTCTCCTCAAACTGGCTTATTCTGCTGCCTGTGGTCTGTGCCATCTGCACACAGAAATTTATGGGACACAAGGCAAGCCTGCTATTGCACACAGGGACCTCAAGAGTAAAAACATCTTGATAAAGAAAAATGGAACCTGCTGCATTGCTGACCTGGGTCTTGCAGTCAAGTTTAACAGGTAGATGAACCTTTCCCTGAAGGGAAATATTGTTAATATTGCACCAGATGTCCAGTTTAAAAGGAAGGTGGAATCAATTGTTTGCATGCCTCCAGTCTGGGGTTTTTCAGTTTTGTGAGTAAAATGCTGTTCTTTCTTGTAGTTCCATTATAAATTATCTCATAGAAAATTTGAGCAGTGTAAAGGGAGTTGAAACTTAATTGAATAAGTAACACAATAATAACATTATTGAATACTTTTTTTTTTGTTTCAGTGGAGCTAGAAAATTGTCTTTTACTACAACAGTGCAAAAACAATTTTCTGAGTTGTTAGTGGTTTTTAATTCTGATTTTTCGTATGTGTTTTCAGCATCTTGCAAAAGAAGCAGTAAAGTGTCAACTTCCCTAATCACTATCATTTTTCTAGATAATCTTTTTTGGGGAAGTACAATGTATTTCAAGTATAGTATTTAGAGGGGAAATAAAAGAAAATTTCATTTTTAAGTGAAAGCCTTTCAATTGCATTATACAGTATTTCATACCATTTCTTTTAATAGTCCAGAATTCACTAACTTCCTAATATTTTCATTTAGTGACACAAATGAAGTTGATGTTCCCTTGAATACTAGAGTGGGAACAAAACGTTACATGGCTCCAGAGGTCCTAGATGAGAGCCTCAATAAAAACCATTTCCAACCGTACATCATGGCTGACATCTACAGTTTTGGGCTGATCATTTGGGAAATGGCTCGGCGCTGTGTCACAGGAGGTAAACTGTGAAATGTTCTCTATGAAATCTACCAGGCCTTTGTCTCACCATACTTCTCTGGGAAATACTGTAGTCAAGCCTGCTCTGTTAATAGGCTTGTGGTCTTTAAAAGCAGGAGTAAGAGTCTGTCCAGAGTACAGCTTGAAAATCACCAAACCAAAACTTTTTGATTGTTGCAATTAAGCATCTCGGGCTTTTTTTTATTCCTTGCTTGAAAAGCAGTGTCTGATCTGGGAGAAGTAGTGGGATGCAGATGTATTTCACTCCTCTGCTGTTTATAGACCTCCAAAATTTAAGTAATGATATGGTATTCTTATGTTATGCTTTCTTGTATTTCTGGCGTCATTCAGTTTTCTCCTTACACATACTATTTTTGTGACTCATCTGTCCTTTTCTTTCATGCTTCTTTTGTCACCTCATGATCTCTACTTGTATTCTCCCATCTTATGCTTTTCTCCCTGTTTCTTTGTAGAAAGTAGTGTATTAGAAGATGTTAAATACTATATTGAGTATCAAAGTCAAAGGGTCTGGAAGTAATTATTATTAGCTATTCAACTTAATATTCATAATATTGGAGCTTTCCTGGTAAATGTCTGATTCTTAGGGTGAAATTTGCAAATTTTTATCACAGTGTAACAGTGTGGTGGATTTACCTTGGCATGAAATTGAGTTAATTTTTGCTTCAGGCTAAGATGTGTAGCTGTGGATGTATAGATCTATCATTATTGTTTTTTTTTATGATTCTTGATCTTTGATAATTATCTCCAGGTATTGTTGAAGAGTATCAGTTGCCATATTATGACATGGTGCCAAATGATCCATCCTATGAGGACATGAGAGAAGTGGTGTGTGTCAAACGTCTACGCCCAGTAGTATCGAATAGATGGAACAGTGATGAAGTGAGTATGCTCAAAGGAAGAAATAGTTCAGTTTTTTCATTAATATGGAAAGATATTTTGTTTTAATAGATATTAAAACATTGTAAAATAGGGACTAGATTCAGACATTCTGATATTTTGAAAACCTCACAGCAACAAAAGTAGAAAGGTATTTTGAAATTAATTCAAAATACCATATTTTTTATGTATATCTTTTTGGTGATCTGAGGGAAAGATACCTTAAAGCACTGTCTAGGTGTACAAATACCTGTGTAACTGAGCTCTTCTTCTTAGATAGTGGAATATTTTTCTGAGTTTTGATTGAAGCTAAAACTTAAATGAGTTTATAATTGAGTTTTTTTAGTCTTCATGTATATAGCATACTGGTTTGTGGCATAAGGTATTTCATAGAGTATGTTTTCTCTGTGTTTGTAGATGTTGTCTTTTTATTTTTTACTGGTATGCTCCAGGGCAAGCTGTGATGTAGCTAAAATATTAAATTTAAGTTTGTGTTTAAGGGACCACAGGTGAGCTTGAGTATATGAGATGTAACTATTTCACATAGCAAGCTAGGTATGCAATATCCTTTCTTCCTCAAATCCATGTTTTTCATGTCAGTTTTGAATGCTGAAAGACCTTTTGTCACATCTTGATTTTCAGTGAAAAAATTCTCTGTGGTTTTTCTGCCATATATATGGAGATTTTTCCGCTTATTGCTACTGTTTTTGTACTGCTGTTCTTGAATTGTAATAATCATAGAATCATAGAATGGCCTAAGCTGGAAGGGACCTTAGAGATCATTTGAATCTAGCCTCCCTGCCGCCAGGGACGCGCCGCCTGTCGACTAGATCAGGCAACACATGGGGACCGAGTGGGAATCCAACCCGCGACCTTAGCGTTGTTAGTGCTACGCTCAACTGACTGAGCTAACCGGCCCCTCGATAATAAGTTCTGATAATGCATCTTTGTGAAACTATAAAGAAACACTTCAGTTAGTTCTGGCTATTGTAATACTAGGTAGTGAAGAGGAGGAGAGAGAGTTGGGAGGTGGTTGTTGGTGATTTTAATTTTTTTTTTCAGTTAATATGTTCATAATCGTTCTTTATCAGCAGTTTTGCAGAAAATGTAGAAGTTGCGCATTTGGATTGAAGACTGCTATAATCTGGGCTTGGCAGTGATTCGACATGATATGTACCTTGGATCTGTCAGTTGTTACAGCAATGTTTCTTTGTTTTTTATTTTACAGTGTTTAAGAGCAATATTGAAATTAATGTCTGAATGCTGGGCTCATAATCCTGCTTCAAGGCTCACCGCCTTGAGGATCAAGAAGACACTTGCCAAGATGGTGGAATCACAAGATGTAAAGATTTGACGTAGTAAATTGATGCTGGAGAGCAAAAGCTGGACTCCTAGATCTTCTCACTCAAACATGGGTGAGACCTATGTGGAAAGAGGAAATAACTGAGTTTCAGTATATTTTCTCAGCACACTTCTACAGGCTGCTAATCAAATCTTTCAGTACTTCATAGACTGTGATACTGAGAGGCTCTGGACACTACACGCTACGTATATGGACAGCCTTGATACAATACGCGTTTTGGTTTGTTTGAGCTGCGTCAAGACTTCAGTCATACTTAGTGAGTCTCTGGTAAAACTCTGGGTACTGAATTGAATGTTCAGATTACAGTGCTTTCTGTGAAAGCCTAACAAGCTATATGGATTCAACAGAGATGGAGAATATAAGCTTTTTTTTGCCTTCTACCTGGTAAAACCTAGTCAATCCATACTAAGTTTTTGTGAAACAGCCTGTAGGTTATGAATCTGTTTGTGATACTACTCTGTTTAACAGTTCCTTATGCCTTTATGTGTGTGCCAGGATTATTTTGCTGTCATTTGGAATAGATAAGAAACCATTTAAATGAACAAAGCTTATGGTCAGGGCTCCTTTCATTTTGTGGCTCCACAATCAGAGATTTGCTACAGAATTTACTCCTTGCCATTAAATTATCATCCAGAATCTCAGTTTTAATTTTATTTCTGTTCTTCTTTTGGTCACAAGGAGAACCGCAAAAATGTGAACTGTTAATAAATTAAGAATGCCTACCTTGGTCTGTAAAGAGCTTGAAACAATGTCTCTTAGAGGCATCGACCGCCTTGGTCATCTCACAGTCTAGTAGGCTCCGTAATTGTACAACTATGAATTTTTTTGCTGTGCCACACGCAGCCAGTGTTTTCGCTGGAGAGTACTTCAGATCTTAACAGAAAGACCATTGATGGTATGTTTTGTCCTCCTACTTGATTGGGACTCACTGGTTAGGTGCCTGTCACATGCTGAACTTGTTTCCATACAGAAGGGAATCAGTCAGCTGTAGGAGCATGCTTTTTCATCGTCCAACCAAACTAGGTAGAAGATAAGATTTGAAAGGCTTGAGAACAAGTCTAGTTTAGAGACACAAAAGAGGGAAGGCAGGAAGCACAGACTGGGCACTCAGAAGATTAGAGAATGCAGTGAAGGTCAAGACCAGGAGAACTGAATGTGGGAACTGTTGAAGAAAAGATTCACGGCGGGCGGAAGACTTTGAGCTGGATTGCCCCGGTGTAAACAAAGGAGGCCGTGTCTGCGGGCCACTTAGTAGACAGTTCCGAAAGTCAAGATTTTGAGACAAGGTGAATCGGTGGATGGTTTACGTTCTAGTTAAGCCCATTTGGGAGAAATGTCATTGAAAGATAATTCATAAAGAATAATGTAGGTTAACGTAATTGCAAAATTTGGTCTTATTGTGCCAAGTATTTGGCATGCACAGGACAGTGTAGTTCCCTCCTCCTCTTCACTGATCCAGACAAGTTGGTTAAAAGCCAGAACCCCTCCATGAGGTCACTGTAAGGCAGAATTATTGATCTGTAGCTCCTTTGGCACTTCTATTTTGAAGTTAAAAAACAGTTCCATAACTCAAGTTGAAGCTTGAAATGCGTGAATCATCTGAAGAATGAACACACAGTATTGGAACCATTGAACCTATTTGATAATTTAAGTGCCTATAACTTTGTACTGTAAATCTTATTCTAGGTAACTTTAAAAGGGAAGTTATTTATACAGTGTGTTTTGTGCTTTAAAAAAAAAACAACAAAAACACCTAGTCCTAGGTGCAAGTGTAAAATTAGATATATGCGCACACACACATATGCCGTAGTTGAGATTTGAAGAAAAAAGTTAGGAATAATATTAAAATTGATGAAAGAATGTTAAGACTTCAGATTGATTTATGGCAGATTATTTGTTGTCTTAAAATATGTACGTGAAGATTGTCTCGATGTGTTTAAATTTCCCTTGAAAATACAACTGATAGAAAACAATGTAATGCAGAACTAATGTGATTTGTGAACAATAACAACCTTCTAACATGTTAATTTTTTGCTTTAATTCTGTAGTTCACGTAATGTAAATGGTCAGGCTAAAGATTGCAGTATTTTTATTTTCTATTGTGATGTACAGTCTTTATTTAACAGTTCTACATATTTTATAGAAAACTAGCTATTGCAAGGGACTTTTTTTAAAAAAATAAAGTCATTACTTTTGTTCAGTAATGCCTTTAAGTATTAATATGTATTCTGGCTGAGAAGGTCATAGCTGTGTCAACTATGGTTTTAACTTATATGAAAACAGCGAGAGATATATGATATTGTGCCACAATCCTCATGATATAAAGGGCTTTAAAAAAAAAATACATTTATCCGTCCATTGCCAAGAAATATTTGATGAGTTTGAAATTGTTAATCATGTCTTTGCGCATAATTTTTGCACAGGTAGTTGGAAAATATTTTCTATGAGCCAAAAAAGTAAGGGATAAGCTTTTTTTTCCTTCTCTAGGATTTTTATCAGTAAGAAGGAAAAATGTTTTTGTGTACCCTGCTAGCTTAAACTGTGAGAGCATGGAGGTCTATTTAAATTAACCCATTCCTATTTAGAATTTTTTTTTAATTTCTTCTAGAGGTTACCACAGCATTATTAGCTATAAACTTGTTTTGTGAATTTTCTCATTAATTATTCCCAAGTTTTTGGGTTCACATTGCTGACAGTGTGAATCTTGATAATTTGTGATTATTCACATGTTTTCTTCTCCATTTTGTAGGCATTTGCAAGGCAGTAGGATGGTGCTCTTTGGTAGACGTCTTAAGACCTAAATTGGTTTATGCATTTACTGTAACACAGAAGTGAGCTGACTTCTGCAAAGATGATCTTTGAGAGAGAAAAAATATTTCGGCCTGAAGCTTAACCTTAATTTTTCAGCATTTCAGTTACTTGGATTTATACTCGATGCATATGCAGTTTTCATTGTTCTGAACAGGAGCCACTAGGTCTTTCGCATTCCTTGATTCCCTGATACTCCAAAAATTGTCATCGCTGAAGGATGTGGTTGCATAAAACACTTGAGCACGTATGTGCATTCCATGCAGAGTCATTCGCTGTTTGGAATCTAAGTATGTCTATACTGATATTTTAACAATCATTTGGAAAAAAACAACCAACCAATTTTTGCTCAAAGCTACTCCATTAATTTTTACATAGCTAAGCCTGCTTAGTACGGACTCCAAAGCTAAGTTGTTGGTTTATGCAATGCTACAGAGGTCAGATGCCTTTAAGGACAAGGAGGGTAATTGGAATCTTCTGTTGGAGTGTGATCAATCTCATTGGTCAAAGTTTTTAAGCATTTGTCATCCAAAAACAATCCCCAGAAAAATGGCAAATGTGTTTTCTTTCTTTTTAGAAAAAAAAATTTTAAAAAAATCAGAAGTGTGGAAAGTATCTTGGAGAATATCAAGACTGTACCTTGGAAGTTCTTAAACACTCACCTGTGAAGGGGCTTTTTTATTTATTAAACCTGCTCCACTAGATTTCAGCAAGGTGGAAAATAATTTGATCCACTTAAATAATTCTTGCTGTTACAGGAACTGAAAGGAAAGTTTTTTGTGTTCCTGATTAAGTTAACTTGTAAATTCATTAAGAAATGTGATATTCCTACAGAAAAATGTAGGCTTACATTTTGAGGTTTATTCTGAGTTTTATTCAATATGATTTTTTTCTGCATTTTACTCAAGAGGCTGAAAGTTTTCCCAATTCCCATTTCCCAATTGTTTTCATAATTATAATCTGTTTTGAGATACTGAATAAAACATCAAATTAATATTTTAAGTTACCTCCATAGTAGTCTAGAGTAAAATTTTAGATCTTGATCTAAATGACCATTTGAATGGGTTCATAAATCAAATGATTTGGATACATTTCATCTACTCTGTCTTCACAGGCTGGTTTTCTAATAGCCTAACAACATTTGAAAAGCAGATACCAAGTTAAAAAGCCTCCTTTTGCTATTGCAAGTATTTTTAAAGGGAAGCTACGAGCTTATCTTCTGTCAAAGACTAGGATTAGCACTTCCTCATTCTTCTGACGATGCCTCTGAAGTCAGAAGTCTTTATCCTGTGCCCACAACCTTTATTCCAAACAATGATGTCTCGAAGCGGCTGGCGTTGTTGCATGGTGCGGTGCCTTTTGGAGTCGTGGTGTGTTAGCCTGGGTTGGCGCAGCAGAAGCAGAGTGCACGTTACTTCTAATTCTTGAACAAATCTCATGTGATTGTTGCTTTGTAATATTTTACTGTGGAGTGCGATTATCGACGGCCACTTCATGTAGTGATATTTGTTTTCTGACATGCCGTGCCCAAAATGAAATGTAGTATACTGTATACAAGAAGAATAAATAACATTGTAGTTAACCTAGAGATGTAAATAAAATATGAAAGAAGAGTGGAGCGAGATAAATGGTCACACTCTTGTGTGTGTTATATGCCAGAAGTGTAGAATACTCCTTTAAAAATGTAACACACTAATGTATTTTGTACAGCATCTGCTTTAGAAGGTGCCTTATTGAGTTTACCATGAATTGCTTGTTCTGTACACAGATTATGTCCAATGTATCATTTTTAAGTAAATAACCTTATTTTAGTACGCATTAGTAATGTGTTTTGTTACTATAAGATTTTGCCTTAAAAATGTAATGACTTGGAAATCATAATACTGTAACTAAATAATTCCCTACTTTTTAATACCTCGTTTATGGTTTTTTTTCCCCCCACATTCTTTGTTCAATGGTGTTCAGAATTACTTGGTGCTCTCTATGTTAAGGCTGAATTTGGGAACAACAGTAAACCCCAATGTTTCCCTCTCCTGATTTTCAGCCGTGTCTTACAGCAAATCAAGAAGCAAGTCAAAACTAAGTAATTCTTTAATTTCAGCATATCTGAGTTCACTAAATGTTGGTTTTATCCATATTAATTTGCCTCAGGCTCATCAAGTAAATACAGAAAAAATAAGGGGATGGGTATTCCATAATTGTCTTTTATTCCCTCCGTGTGCAAACCTCTTTTTTGTGTAGTGATACCCAAATTAAGAGCTTTGGTTACAAAATTGTGAAGGTGCTTCTGTATAGCCTGCTAAATTCATTCTGTTTTTTATGATTCAAGCAAATGAAGACTAATCAAGGGCATATCTCACATGTGAGTACACAAATCTATGAAATCTTGGAACTTATTTTTGCATTGCAGAAATGTATTGGCTAATGCCGTAGAGATCACTTAATTTGCAGGCAGGA